ATCACGAAACGTTTCGATTCCTCTTCTGGTACTGGAACCTCAGCGTCAGCAACGTTTGCTGCTTCAAACTCAACCAGTTCCTCAATTCATAAATATTCCCCATGTGACCAAATCAGCTCTTCGATATCATGTTCATCAATTTCTAGTTTTACTGATTTAACAAGAATCACTGTTTTTTTCAGTCTAGTCTTCAAACGTTTCGCCCTTACTTTAATCAGCATGGTTCTTACACTTAGCCAATCAACTATTAGTAGCCACAAAAGATTCAGATCTCTTTGGATATTTTGATCTTATGTCTTCAAAAAGAATTCTTCCTCTGAATCGTTGCTAAACTGAGCGAAATATGCTTTCGGCTTGTTCTTCCATTCAGACAACTGACAATTTTATCATGTCATAAGCAGCATCAGAGTGTCTTATGGTCATTAATGTTTACTTTCCACATCCTTTCGTATTTTCGTTTATAAAGGCAGAATCATTTACAACTGCGTTATCTGTTAATTATGGAGACTCGGATGGATCGCATCCGATGGCCATTAAGATTATTTACCTTCATATATCTTCACAATTTTCATTTTTGTCTCTAGATCAATATCGGTGCTTCTACGCATGGTTTCACTTTTTCCACTCGTATGACTTTTGCTAGTCATGATTGTATTCTATCATGGCGCAAGCAAATAACAAGATTTACTAAAGTGACTGAACGCCATTACACAGCTGCCTGTTTCCAGTAGTAAGCAGAGCGAGGCTGAAGAAGTCGCATGCCTGCTCTGCATGACTTGTAAATCTTTTTTGACTCGATATAACTTGACTTTTACATAACCCTTTAAGGATATTTGCGTAAGGTGAATTTGGGTAATTTTGGGACTGTTCTTTTTGATGAAAATAACTCGGTTGTTTTGCAAACAAATGCGATCTGTTGTGCCAGTATGTAGTACGGATTCAGAGTTTAGTAAATATAACAGGTCGACAATCACGTGATATGTTTTCAGCAGAACAGGCCCACTTTTTTTCACTATGTACAGAGAGAATACAGTCACTAGAGGACAGTAAAGAGTTTTTTCTTTGTGGAAGGCTACAGGCGACGTCGGCCATTGCAATCAGCTTATGCAAGACTGTTCATATTGGAAAGTGATCGTTTGATCGGTAAGAATGGGCAACACCAACGCTTGACGGTCATTCGGCTTCGGTTCTAGTCACCAGTTTAATGAACGTCAACCAAGTAACCGATGTCTACGATTAGAGTTGCGCGAGCTCAGGGTGTCACGATACTAGGTGCTGTTCAGTACTTCTCCGAGACATGCTACCACTTCAGTGTTGATGGTCTGCGCTGACTTCTCGACGATGATCCTATCCTCGTGGCATACAGAAACCACTGATGAATCATGTTCAGTTACATCATATTCATTGTTTCTATATGTGCGACTCTTCCCGGCCATCAGCGTCGTAGCATCTCTCGATCCTGTTCAATAGTATACATCGACCGTTTGTCAATCTCGCTTATTTTCTTGGCTGCCATCTCAATGGTGCAATTTTCGTATTTCATTTTAGCCATGCTAAACATAAGCTGTTATGTATGCATTTGAAAATTTCTGCAGTCATTTGTAGAAAACAGTAAGTTTCGAAACGATATTTGGAAGAGACGTCAACCAAGCACTGCCTAAAAACAACATACTATAAAAGACCGGTTCGCCTATCTTATACGGATATGGATATACATACCTATATATCTATCATGCGTTACATTGTCTCATACCGACTGTAAATCACGCCGTTAGCTACAAATCGCGATCTAAACCTACTGCTGTCATGCTGAGAAACGTTGCTTTGACGAAGAGGGTAAGATTCTGATAAGATGAATGAGATGAAAGGTTTCAGGAGAACTGAGATGCCTAGGCATTCAGCATGAGGTTGATTCCTCAAAATTCATTACTTGTAACGTCAAAAGCACATAAAACTTGCGAGACATCCGGTAACGGAGTCGTAAATGAAAAAGAGAATGTTGGAAATGAAGAAGATGAAAAAACTGAAATGCCCGACAAAATCCTTATAGCTCCGAGCTTGGCTGAGGCGCATGCCGCTGTCAGGAATATGAAAACATTACTATGTCCGCGCAGCAAAGGCAGTTGCAAAGCATTTACAATGTGCTGCAATATCTGATATTAATAACAGCAACATGATCGTTACAAGTGCAAGTACGCGATGTGCAGGAGACTTTCACAACAACGTCATCTGTGTGACT